AAATAGATCAAATATCACTGATTTGTTCAGAGAAGATTTTAGAAAACATTCTATCATAAAATGAATAAAATGTAAGCAATATACGGTAAATTACTGAAAATAATATTTGCTTGAAGTTTTACACTTAATTATATTTTAATTTAAAAGTATTTAAAGTCTCAAAGATTTAACAAATTCTAGAGTGCCACAATGTTCAACAATCCTGAAGTTCGATCTTTGGATATACCAGCAGCAACTGGTATAGGCACTGCTCGATCACTTGCAAAACTTCATGCATTGGTTCTCGAAGGAAAACTGTTGAAAGAGACAACAGTAAAACAGCTCTTTCTCGATCCTACAGTTTGTAATCAAATGGACTTGGTCTTATCGATTAATATGTCATTCGGGAAAGGATTCACCTATACGAAGAACTTTCAGGTATAAAAATTGATGTTACTCTGAAAAGCACATTATACCGTGCTTGTAAATAAATTATCGATTAATTTTTTCAATCCGAAGATTTTTCAAAGCAAATTAATTTGATATAAATCATTAAGCAGTACCTCCGGTATTGTTTTCCTATGGAAAATCTTCACTTTCAGGATCAATGGCTGGTCGGTCATCCAGGATTAGGCGGTCAGAATGTTAAAATGGATTTAACAAATGAGGTAGCATTTGCATACCTCTGCAGTGGCTTAAAAATTGGCCACTCTGATTTAACGGTGACATTTATGCGACTGCAAAATGCACTTTACGAATGTCTCCGTGAAAATAATTTGTTGAAAGAAATTCGAGAAGAAAAAACTGAAGGAAACTCTGAAATTACAAGTTGGTCATGATTATTTAAAATAATTTTAAATTCCACACATAAAATTTGAATAATTTGTTTAACGTAAGATATTATGACAGTATTGCATTCTTCGATTTGCGATCTCTTCAGCTTGTGGTATTTTTGACATCTCACTCAAAAAATGTGATCAGTGTGCTATTTTGCAACTATGAATGATTGGAAGTTTTTCGGATCTGCAGAAATTGATTTGTTCAAGTTTGAAATTATAATTGGGAATGATATTTGTATTTAATTTAACTCTTTTCTTTCTATATTTACGTTGCAGGAAGAAACAGCTCACTGGACACTTCTTCCAAAAATCACCAAAAAGCCAACGTTTTAATGCCGCTTGAAAGTAACACAGTTTTGACTTCTGATACGTGAATTTTGAATAAAACTAAAACTTTCTTGATGTACTTCGAAGCTTCCTCTTTAACTTGCTTCCATTTTACAAGAATTTTAAATTTGTTTGCGAATTTTAGAAATTTTAATCTGCATTTATGCATATTATTAATGTTTGCAATTCATGTACTAAGCACACGACTCAAAATTTTGAAGTTTAGTTAATTTCTTGATCTGATATTTATTTAATATCAGATATTTAAATCATTTGACTCGATGAAAAACTACAATGTCAATCAAATGTAACGAGCGCATTGCATACGCGCAGTGATCCCCGTCTGAGCTGTTTTATTGGCAATTTTAGAGACTTAAACGAAAAGATTGCTTGCCTGAGAGAATGAGAGAAGGGCCTAGGACAATTGTCCGGTCCGGAAACCCAGATTTGAACATGGATTAAACGAAATGGTTGCTCTTTTAGGAAGAGCCTCATATGTTGTTGTTGCTGGCGCACAGTAACGCGACCAGGAAAATGTACAGTGATTATAGTCAGACAGTTTTGTCTATTCGGATTAAATGGTAGCTTGCATATAATTTGCTGACCATTATATCTTGATACCTAAGAAAAAGTTATTCAGATGTGAAAGAAAATAAGAGATTTTAAGTTTTCTTATCAAATCACAGCTAAATTTTTGCAAAATTTGTTTATATATATCCACAAAATATTTTAACTTTAATAAATTTGTAATGAAATATCTATAAATTTTAATTAATCCAATTAAAAATTTGTGTGATCGGAGTGGTAGCTGCAGTTTCAATCCAATCAGTGTGGAGTAATTGACCAGCGGTCAGTCGCATATCTAAGCGTTCGGACATCAAAAGTTGCGCAGTATGCCAAATTTTTGAATCTATTGGTAATGTGATTGATGATTTTACCCCATGATAATCGATCTGCAATAATATAATCATCAATGATCTGTATAAATTTTAAGTAAATTATTCGAATCAGTGCATAGCTTGAGAAATATGCGGTAAATACATACGGTTCCATTCGGTTTTCTTTTCGGCATCCGACCAGTGAGACATCGATACAATACAACACCCATTGCAAACATATCTTGCGGTAATAATTCAGCCCTTTTACAAAATATACTTTGTTAAATGACATTCTCGTAGATCATTAACAACAATTATTTCTAACTCTCGATGATAGTAACAATAAAAATTCGTACAATAATGAAACATACTTAGGATGAATAGATTCTGGTGCAGCATACATAGGTAATTGTCTAATTTTGTTCATATTTTCAGCAACTTCCTGTGCACTTGTAAGTCCGGTCAAGCGACCTACCATATGATGGTCAATCAAGATATTAGCCGTACAAATTGTTCCATGATAAATACATTGCCTACAAATTTATGTTACTCAAATGATATATATCAATGCTAATTTTTCAACACTCGCTATAATGATAATCAAAAAAAAAGTTGAAGACAACAGCAATAGTGTAAAACATCGGTCGTACCACAGTTATTAGGTCAAATGGATAATATTGATATTAGCAATTAAACCGTTCATTTTAATTAATTTAATGATTGTATA